TTGTGTTGGCGTGTGTGTGCGTGTCTACAACATATGTGTGTTTTACTGCAAGCGATTTCCTCAAATGACAATATCTCAGCATTATTAATATTGTGTCTCATGTGTAACTCTGGCCATATGGTGTAGCTCAAATCCTAGCACCGCTGTAAAGTCTTTTAGTTTAACGTTTCACTATGGGTTTTTTGCATACATTCATAACCGGCTCAAGTCTTGAAATTCAGTTAATTCCACATAAATTGAGTTACTATTTAGAGAGATTTATCTAAAGATTATCATAAAAATCTGATACAGTTTTATGATTTTAGAGCAAGACCGTGCTCATCGTGGAATCTATTGAGGGGATTCTTTCCACTCAAAAAGATGAATACAAGAACAGCATTTAATTGATTTTGAATGGACTTACATGATATTCACATGCTCTCACAGAAAAAAGCCATAAATGAACGCTCTTGATCATTTTATCTTGTAAAATTTAAAAAAAAACACGATGCAGTGTGCCATGGTAGTGTTACAAAAATAGCATCAACAGAAAGCGAAATAAGCTATTATTATTGGAGAAGCACTGAGGAGGTCCAGTCAGTACAAACATCTACAGCAATTTCCATCATAAAGGAAAAAGAGCTGAACAAGCCTTATAAAAAAACAACTCTGCCCTGTGATCATTATTTAATGCACATTAGCACCAAACTGAATGTGCGCCTGTTAAATCTGGTACAGTGAATTGTAGACTCACGTTGTCGACCGTGTTTTTAATCTAATATAGTTGATGTTGACAACAGTTTCATGATTCCCTTTGGTTTAATGCAGCATCACTTGTGTTCTGTTTGATGACCTTAAGCAACATGCAATGGTCTCCCCAAAACAAATATTAAATGTATAATACAGCGTATCAAATTGAAAAATAAATCACCTAAATGTTGTACTACTGTAAGTACCGCCAGTGGTGGACTGTAACTAAGTACATTTACCACATACTTGTATTTTACTTGACTATTATCTTTGTATGCTTCTTTATACTCCCATAAATCATTTTACATAAAAACAAACATGATAAGCTTTTGAAAAAATAAAGTCATAGGACTTTTAAAAAATATATATATATATAGATTGTGGCATTTAAATATATGTCTGGGGCCTAAAATTATAAAATGATCCAATATTTTACCAACAAAAGGCAAAGATCACACAAGATTCATAAAAAGAATACAGATTTGTGTAGCAGAAGTTTTTCTCTCTTCATCTACTGACCCCTCAAATGTATCTTGGGACCTTTTGTTGGGTTCACTGGACTAAACTACAAACTCAAATGTACCAGCTACAACATCAAATTGTTACTTAAGCATTGATGCAACAGTAAACAATTTAATATGTATAATATTCCAGTCATATGGGACATTTTTTTGCCGAACATGTGTTTATTTATAGTACTGAACTGATAATAATGTACATTTTAATGCTGAGATTTTATAGTTCTGCATTGTATTTTACTTACGTACACAATCTAAACACTTATCCATCCCCTGCTGAGCTTTTTATACATTTACAGTTTAAACAGCTCCAGGAACACTTTCCCCCGGAGCTTTGTTTCTGTTTGTCAGCTCAGTTTCTCTTCTTCAAGGAACAATTTCCAAATGTAAAAAACAATGTTTTACATTTCTGTTCTCTTTGAGCAAGCGCTTCCTTTATCAACAACCCTGTGGCATTCCTGAATTCCAATTAAAAGAACATTTTGTGCCGCTTTAAAGTCCCATTAAAACATCACATGGCAACATTTAGCGTGTGCATCTGATAGAATTGAAAATAATCTCATCAAATTGTGTAATCCAAGAGATTAAATCACTCTTCATATTACATGGCTTAACACAGATAGGGAAGGTCATAAAGAGTTACGGCTGGGTACTTTGAACCATTTACCATATTCCTCAACCGCCAGTCTGACAGGAGTACAGAAACACTATTGTTTCATTCATTTAAATTAGATCCCATAACTGTTGTTGTTGCAGATGAATTATGTATGCAGTGCTGTGCTGATATGTGATAGACGTCGTCTCTCTGGGAATGTAGGACACATACTTATGCATAACAATAGTCTTCAGTTATATTCTCACCAACAAATTGGCCGTTTATCTCCGTTCATCTTGTGCTTATTTTACGCAGCTGCCATGGAGAAATCAGGTCCATTACCAAGTGGCGGTTACTGTATTCAAATATGCGGGATTGTTGCCCCAGTACTTTCACTAATTCTCTCTTCTTATAAAAACAGAGTCATATGCCTGTCAGGGACATTGTACAGCTGATAACCGCATAGCCTATTTAAATCAACTCTGATAGTCTTGTTTAAATCATCAATTGTTCATCATAAATGTTTCCTGAGGTTTTTGTCATGCTTTCCATCTCTCCAGACAATAATTGACATATTGGCTTGTTCCCCAATGGGCCTGTTATACTGGTCCGCCTCAAAAAACAATCAATCCATAAACTGACTACACAAAGAGATGCAAAACCGGATGTGTGATATGGTTTTTCAAAAGCTGATACAAAGCCAATCTGAAATATTTTCACATCTAAGTCACCCATTACTAATGTGGATTTATTTTGATTCAGATGCAAAACAGGTGAAACTTTTCAGACATGACTGGTTAAAAGGCTATCATGATTCTATTCATTTGCTAATTTGACATAAGTAACGTAATTGTGAGTTAGTGTCAAAATAAGTAAGAAAAAAAAGGATCTATGAGTATTTGTATAAAAACAAATATTGGTTTCACATGTGATAATAGATAGATACAATCATGAATATTCCAGAGAATAACTATCATTTCATTTCATATTAGTTTCATATAGATATTATTATGTGTATTATTTACATCAAAACCTATAGATATGGTTTAGCCAATCATCAATAGCAATATTGTAAAATGCAATAATGATGGTAGACCCTTTATTCCTCTTTCAAAAAAGCTAATCTTGACATATCTTTGTGTAATTTTGATTTTAGGTCACATAATAATACACTAATGACCAGTGTGTATAATTATGCAATATACAGTCTTGCATTGGGCCGTTAAAAAGCCTCTCGATATCTCAGATACAATCCAGGAGAAAGAATATATCAAATTTGATACGTTGGACACATGCCCTATACACAGTCCTAATGTCAATAATACAGTAGTTGTAATGTGTCATATTTAAATTATCAGTATTTTCCGGTTAATGTTACTGTTTTCTGACTGATAAATAATTAGTAAAGTCTTAGTATTTTTAAGGCCGGTGCACCGCCGCTGTGGAGCCGGATCGAGGCACCCCTCGGCCGGTCGGATCCCCTCTCCTCCAGCGGGGAAGCCTGGAGATCCCCGGCCCGCTGAAGTCGTGCCGTTTGGGGGAAGCCCTGCCTCAGGGCGACGGTCGACAAAACGCCAAGAAGAAGAAGAAGCTTCCGAGGCTATTTTTTTTGTTTAACATCCTCAAATGCGATGAGAGGATTAATGCATTGCGCGTCTGCCTGACCCATATGGCCGCTTGTGCTTAATTAAAACCGAATGGATACTCGGGGGCCCCGGTCCCCCTGCTGCACGAACACTGACTTACTGCTCTCTGCTGACATTATCGAACCTGTTGAAACTGGGAATATTTGTAGGCCTACAGTTCAGGATTATTACCAGAAAGTGTGATTGTGTGACGTTTCCCAGTCACGAGTACAATGTAAGAACTCTAATAATATTTATGGACTCAAGGAAAGGACCTTTTATAGAACTATGGGTTCGACAAAATATCTCACCAATATGGCCAATATTGCTGAGATTGTTATTTTTAGTTTTCTCTCTCAACAACACACGTTTTTTTTTAATGATTGTGTTTGTCTCAGTGTTCTTTTTATTTAGGTCATGGTTTTAGGTTGCCAATTTCAACGTGATATAAAGGCTTGTGCCAACTCCAAATCCTTATTTAACCATTTAGAACAATATTATCTATTTTAAAATAATGTAGGCCTATCAACAATCATCAACAACAAACTACATATAGCCCACAATAATATTTGTTAGAGTATTGTTTGTCGCTCTGTAATTGTGTGTGTCATTTGGTGCTAATTGGGGGTCAAATAGACAACAAAGCACTTCAACTGCAGCAGAGTCACGGCAGAATTATTAGAAGCTTTCTGACATCTCGTCACATCCTAATTAGGCCGATAGCACGAGCCTTCTTCTTCTTTAATCCATGCACGAGCCCCCGGACCTGCTCACCCTCAAACTCTCTCTCCTTCAAACCCCGAAGACTTTTTGGCTTTGTGTCCTATTAAATACATGCAGCACTAACAATCCCTGCAACAGATGTGTGACATTGATTTTGATTGAGATGGAAAAAAGCAAACATTTAAAGCGGAATGATGCGTTTATAATTTACTTGATAAATAAAGTTTAAACTGAACCTTATCATTGCTTCTCTCAAATGTATTTATTTTTGAGAAAATTAAGTGTTACCCACTTTATATGGATCAGATATTGGGCGTTTGTTTGCCTCTATGTCCACTTTTCTGCTGTTTTTCTTTGCTGTATAACTATTTAAACTCGTGTTTGCTCCACTCTTGAGCTGCAGAGCTCATTTCACATCTCTGCGTGTGAACTGGCCAGCGTTGCGCCCTGCACCAAAGAGCAGCCGTCAATAAAAATGTTGGATTATCCTCTTTATGAGACGGGATTAACGCAGCTCTCACATAATTCACATTCCTCCCTGCCTGGACAGAAATCAGGCCCGGACTCTAGTGACTTAGAATAAATACTTTTTAAAGTAGGCCAATTATAATGTTATGTTGGGGACCATCACAGGGATGACATTTGGCACTATGAAGACACTTCATTTACGTTTTACGCCAAACCAAAAACTGTGATTGTTGGTGAAATGAGATTGATTCATATGGTTTGCTGTCGTGTTGTGGTGTGTTGTGTGTAGAAACCAGTGATACAAAGAGAAAAACACAGAACATTTAGTTGGATTTGTGTCAGGTCAAGTGATCTTTATTATTTTTTCGTGTTTGTGGCCTTCACGTAGCAGTACAGCTCAGATGGACCTTGCTCGCTGCTGGTTTGATTTGCTGCACTTCCCCTTTCATTTAACTAATATCTCCTCATAATAATTTATCATTTAACACTCGAGACATGGGGATAAATCTACCAAATTCACAGCTGGGAAACGCGAGAAAAAATTGCATACAGGTAGTACAAAGAATCACCATTTTTTTTTTAAAGAAATCTAACACATGGGGAAAAAAACAATTAAAAGAAACACATATGGGACATTTATGAGCACACGCAAACGGACTGATTGTCTCTTATAACTAGTTTTAAACATATTTCTCATAAATTAATAGTGCATCCAGGTTCATGTCAGAGCTGCTCTCTCTCTCACACACTCTCTACAACACACACTCATGCACAACGCTTTGATCAAAGGGGCCCTTCAGCGTGCCAACAAAATAAAAAAAAGACAAGAGAGGGGAGTCTTTAAAGAGCTTAGAAAAAACCCTGACTTATTATTCCTCCATCTCAACCATCTTTTGATCCTTTTTTTCCTTTTGGTCAACACATTTGTTCCGTGTCCTTGATCAAAGTTGGGGAGAAGTCAGTCTGAATGTTCAATAAGTTAACCCAACAAGTGAGACAACCGGCTGGCAGTCCTGTTCTGCTCTGCCCGAGGTAGACGTTGGGGCCTGTGATGGGGGGTGGGGGGTGTGTGGTGGTGTTGGGGGTGAATAACGACTTGCTGCTCCCAACCCCGGGGTTTTTAATTCGCCTGAATAGTCTCCAGCTTGTGGAATGTGTCCTCTCACAACACTTGGAACTTCCACGCTGCCTGGTCTTTGTAATCCAAACAGTCTGCGTTGAAATTGAGCTTCCATGAGGAGGCCGTTTGGTCCTTATAGTCCAGGCAGTCTGCGGCTCCGCTGAAGCCGAGCCCCGCCGCGCCGTACGCCGACGTGGAGAGGGACGACGCGTTGCTCAGGTGGCCGGAAACCCCGTTGCTGGACATGGGGCTCATGGTGGAGCCCGCGGCGGCGAGCTGGTGGTGCATAGGCGAGAGGTAGGAGCCGCAGTCCATCCCGGTGAAGTAGGACGAGGAGCCCGTGTAGCCCTGGTTGTAGCCCGACGCCTGGCTGTAGGCCATGGGGTAAGAGCGCTGCATGCAGGAGGACGCTGAGGTAGACAGCGGGTCGGAGAGCGGGGAGATGGAGGCCGGGCTCCAGATAGACACCGGGGCCGCGCTGCTGCTCACAGCCGGGAGGGAGGTGCTCGGCGGCGGCGTGAACTGCCCGCTGGCTCCGCTCTCTGAGCTGGCCTCCCTCACCGGAGAGCTCTTCTTCTTCACCGGCTTGGTCACTGCCTTGTTCTGCGCTCCGCTCTGGGTTTGCTGGGCCTGTTGACGATGTTTGGCCCGTCGGTTTTTGAACCATACCTGGAATACAACAATTCAATTATTTAATTTAGCTATAAAAAAACAACACCATTTCTCTATTCCAGGTCAAATATACTCCACAATCCTGTGGTATGGTACACTGAAAACTGTAATTACATTCAAGTAATCAATGAGGCCACGTTCAAATGAATAGCTACATACATCCCAGAAATAATGTAGCCATGTAATTTTTCCAAAACGATATTCACAAGTTTCTACTGTCTTACAGGCTTTACACTTTGACAATGAAACTCCCTTCTTAAATCATTACTCACAGTTAGTAGCAATTACCAAAAATATGAATTAAATACATACAAAGAGAAATTATCGCCTCAAGGAGAGACCGTTATCAAGCACTTCTCCAGCACTGAAGAGGAGGACACTTGAAGTGTAGCGCCTCTCACTGAACATTATCGACCTGCCATTAATAGACTGCAGTATTGTTGGGGTCTCACCTGCACTCTGGATTCGGGCAGGTTGATTTTTAAGGCCATCTCCTCTCTCATGAAGATGTCAGGGTACCGGGTCTTGTTGAACAGATTCTCCAGCAGGTCGAGCTGGGCCCGCGTAAATGTCGTCCTCTCCCTCCTCTGCTTGCGAGGTTGTCCTGTTAGCAAGAAGAGGGTCAAATTAAAGACGCGAAATAACCTTACCAAACATTCAAAGAATACGAAATACACAATTGTGTAACACGATGTTTGGATACTCCAACAGTCCACGGTAATTACATTAGGAATCCATCACTCATCTCAATAATACAAACTGTCTCTAAAATGCAAATAACTATTTAGTTTAAAAAAACAACAACTGAATAATATGTTATACATTTAGGTATATTTCTACTGGGTTATTACCGTGGTATCCCACTGAAGGGTGCAGCAGGTCCACTCCTGAGGCAGATAAACTGAGTCCGTTCACCGTATACGGCGGCTGCTTCAGATAGGACATCATGCTGGCAGCCGGGCGATTGGGCAAAATGTAAAATAAATAATAAAAATAGAGCAGGAAATAATGTTTTAATCCTCTCGCGTCTCCGTTTGGTCTTTCACTTCGTCCAACCTGGAGCAGGAACACAAAACAGGAGCGTGTTTAAGGTCGGTTAGATACGTCTCTGTGTCCGCGGAATTTTGCGCGCAGCCTTTACGCACCGAGGTGGTTTAAAGAAGTGGGCGTCCTCGCGCTCGATGGGCTCTTAAAGCCGAGTAGAGACCCCCAGCTGTCCCCTGCTGGACTGAGGATGCTCTGTCTGGCTGACAGGCGTTTACGCCATCACCCCCCACCACCACACACACACTAACTGCTACTATATAACCCCGCCCCCTTACCACCACTACCCCCCAAACACACTCCTCTCCTAGTACCACCAAAACAAAACATTGTCGTTAAAATGCGCACACTCGCTGGGCCCCAACCGGGCTCTCAATTAGCATATACCCACAGGTTAGGCGAAGCTAAATAGACAGCTGATTGGGGGGCCATTTGCAGAAACAAAGCCCACTGTTGACCGATAAGTAATGCTGATAACAAAAGACTTTAGGGAACAAACAAAGAAGGCAATACTGCAAACTGAGCGCTCATTCAAATACAACGGAGCATCTTCATTTCTATATCTCAAGGCCCATTGTTTGTTTCCACTAAAACCCTTGTACATTCAAATGTAACGAAATTAAAATACGAAGGACAACTTTCGCAAATAATTAGAAACACGGAGGCATTCCCTGAACTGATTTCTGACATATATTATTGACACCACTCGCGGCGATTCCCCCTCCTTTCCTAATGAATTGCTCCCGGTAATTAGATTTGGAAGGTGAGACTATCTAAAAGTGTTGATTAGAGAGGAGCACTTAATCTTAATCTAAACAAACAAGGAGATGGCCCACGATTTTGTTAAAATAAACATTTTACTGTAGTCTGCAACCTTTTAATTCAAACTTCTTTTTTTTGTATTATACATATTTTACAATGACCACAAACGATGTAGGGATATTTCGAGCAATATTCTGAATGTATATATTATATAAAGAAGAAAATCAAATAGAATGAATAATTATTTTAGAATATTATACAAATATATTATGGGAGATTAAATATTTATATGACAAATTAATGTTAATTAATGTACTACAACCTACCTGATAATGCAATATAAAGTCGATTTGCTAAATATATTTTGATTATTACATAGCTCATCATTAAAGGATAGGCCAATGTTTGAACTATGCCTAAGCGATCACAAAACTGTGTCTAACACTGTCTAATAGGCCTTAATATTTTCTTTGTTAGTAATAGCTAATTAGTCTATATTCCATATGCTGCTGTCTGAGGCCTCTCGTAACGTTTCCAGTGACACCTACCTGTAGAATAAAGTTCCCAGGACCCCAGGGTGCTCAGCCCGGGACCCCTCGTTTTATAGAGCCAATAACGGCCACTCCTATAGTCAATCTGTCACTTTTTTCCACCCCCGGCTACCGGTTGCTCCACATCCGTTCAATAATAAATACCCTGCCTGGCCATTAATTATTATTGGCTACAAGAGATTTTTTTTTTTTTCTGTAAGAAATTAACGAGATAATCCGGACGGCACGCGCTGGCCTGATTACAGGACGCCAGCCACGACTCCGCATTCAGGTCTCCTTAATTTTCTGCGTCACGAAAATAAAACAAAGACTGGCATTGTATTTATCAGACCAGCTGACTGCCAGACAACCGACCCCCACCCTCTTAACCCCCCCCCCCCGATCCACCCCAGCACAACCAGCTCTAACTCACTTTCCCAAATCCACACATGCACGTTCAAAGTATTATTTTGGTTAATATTATTATTAATATTATTATTAATACTATTATAATAATTATTGTTATTAATATGATTATTATTGTTATTATTGTGGCTTGTTCCTGTAAGATATATTGTTATTGCGTTATGATTTCCATATTTTAATATTTTGCTGTCAACATTTAGCATTACATAAAAATACAAGTTGTGATTTTTATAATCCGAGTGTGCAAATTCAATATTGAAATAGATTTTTATATTTTAATAATAACACATTTTTCATTCGAGGTTTAGCCATCTGTTTGATGACAAAGTGGAACCTTTGGATTGGCCTACATTTAATACAGTGTTATTTAACATTATTATTTTACAACTTGACTTTAAGGGGTTCACCCTCCCTCCTCTACATGCCTGAATACATCCAAAGACTGGTCAGACACCCAGCAGTTGGAGTGTATTATCTGAAGTTGCGGACTGCGATTAATCGGTCGAACGCCCCTTTGCTCGGAGCATGCAGCCCAGAGGGAGATAAGTTCCTTTAAAACACGCCTTTCCAATTATCTCCCTGTAGGTTATCGGGGTCCCATCGCACGCACCGGCGATCATAGGAAAAACAACATCCCACTTTAATACGGTAAACTTACACTTAAAATATGAAACTGAAGTAAAATAAGTCACTTACCTCAGTTGTTTTTTAAATGCCTTTTCTTTGAGTCTCGTTCTCTCCTGCAGAGCGGGTTTATGAAGCTGCTTTGATTAGTTTCCTCCGGGGTAAGCTTGTTGGATGCGGATAATAGCTATACTCTCAGTATTTATGGAGAGAGAGAGAGAAACTGGGATGATTTTTTTGCAGCCAATGGAAGTGATTGAAAATATGATGGGCAGAGGTGTGAATGCATGCAGCTGAAGTAAAGCGGCCTGATGGTGGCAACATCAGCTCCAAAGCGCTATGTTGTGCTGCTATTTCTTTATCATATATATAAAAAACACACATTAAAGACACGCTTTTCACTCGTAATAAAAGGTATTTATTTATATTTTTAAGGAGACAAAGTTAACAGATACAAATTGGTGTGGTGCATTCACCAACCAATCAGAGCCGAGCGCCTGCACGCAGCTAATGACGAACACATAATATTGGTAGGCTATATAACCTATAGACCCGCGCTCATATTAAGAATCAGGAGGTTTTAGCTGCAGCTTGCAGATTTGATTGTCAAAATAAGCTGAGCAAGCAAAACGGAAGCACTGTTTTGTAGAGAGAGGTGAAAATAACTTCTCGGGGATCTGTCACGGTTTAGTTCTGTGTAACCCTGTAAAGGAGATTTAAGGGGGGGAAATGGAGGCCCGTGAAGATGTAGCCTACACCACCACTTATATGTTGATTTTAAAGTTTTTTTCCTGTATATTTTACCAACAAAGTTGCCTAAATTATGTATTAAATGTTCTGGATAATACCGTGAACCACTTAAAAATAAAAACATGTGATTCAATTTACAATAACGTCTAAGGGGCCTACATTTATTTATTTTTACTGTTTTTTTCCCCTTCCATTTCGACACAACTTTGGTCCCAGCAGCCCTGACTGGAGTTTTTTTAATAATGCTCTCAAACAAGCAGCAGGTTAGAGAACTAATTAGGAGTCTACATGCCAGATGAACAGACTGTGAGGCTGCCGGCTTGTTAGACACGACTAAAATCAATACGACCTATTATAGACTCTTTTGTATGAAAAATCATGACAGTGTTTTTGGAAAATCTAATTGTTTGAGATTTAGAGCAATTATGTAAAGTCAATAAAGATTAAAATGAAGATAACAAATTGTAATATTGTGATTAGATGTTGGTCATTAGAATAAAATTATTATATAAGTGGAGTGTTCCCATTTCCCCTGAACGATCACAGTAAAACAAACAGCCTAACGGGGCTTAAGTATCTGGTCCCTCTTGTTGTCCCTCAGCGATGTTCTTGGCTCACGCAGAGTGCTTTCATCTTCAGCTCTGATATATAATTCATCGGAAAATATCTAATAGCCCTGGGGAGCGTTTCAGCTAAACGGGGCCGCGGTTGTAAAAAAGGTGAAGGCGCTTGTTAATGTCTGTGGCAATATGCCCTCCCCCTGTCTCCGGGCCAATTGACGGAGTCACGGTTTCTCCTGCTGTTAGGGAGACGAATTGAAGGCTAAGAATCGTGGGACTGAGATACCTCTCTCACAATGTGCTGGATAACACTGGCTGGCATGAGCAGAGCAGACGTGCTGCCTCCTCTCTCCTCCAGCCTTTTGTTTGCTTATTGTTGCAGACTAAATCATAAAGATTCTAATAATGTGGTTATATCTCTTTTAAATCTTCTTCTGAATACATGTTTGGAAGGAAATATTTCTAGATCTATTTAGAGGAAGTGGTCAGAATACATTTATTTTCATCACTTTTTTAATTCTTTATCAAAATTAATTTCCAACATCTTTTTAAATGTTAAAGGAGCAGCGCAGAGATTTAGGTTTTTTTTAATCAATTTTTCATTCTTTTAATATTAGTTCTTAATATAAATTATTGGATGTTCGGTTTTTGTACACACAACTTCAGTTAACCTTTTGATAAATGAACAGTATCTCGATCAGATGCATTTATATCAACTCGTTGTGATTTGTCAATGGAGAATGTTTTTTAATTAAAGTCTTTCCAGCTCAGCATACATGACATTTAATTATTTGCTTTACTTATCACTCTTTATTTCCATAATTTTTTTAACGTGAAATTTAAAAGGGGCATTTCAGCAATGTAGTTTTGTACTTATAGCGTGAAACACAATTTAAATGAAGCCTATCCAACTATCAATATTCACTAGCTCTCAATATTTTAAGGTGCTCAGTTTTTGCACCAACCACTTCAGATCACTTCAGCTGTCCATCTCAAGGTCAAATCAATGACTTGGCCCACTCCACCAACCCCATCTGTTAGACACAAACACCCACAGTAAACTGTATTGGACATTACCATGGCTTGCTTTTTGCCATCTGCAGCGTAGAACTCACATTGATAGATTTATTGATAGGCATTGCGGACAAAGCGATATGTATTGATGATTTTACGACAAACCGAAGCGAGCGTCCTTGGATATTGAACTACTGTATTATCTGTTGAGTCTATGCGCTTTGGACAGCATGTGTTTCGAAAAAACAATTGTCAGCAAGGCACCTTAAAGGCCCAATCACTGCAGAAAGTGGAACAAATTAAATGTATCAGTGTGTCTTTGCAAAATAGACGATGCTAAGGGTAGTTGATGTAAAAAGCTAGTCGGTGAGCTAACCAATATGCTATCAAGCCGGGAAAATGTTCACTTGT